CGCGTTTTCGGGGAAAATCATTTCTAAAGATGTAGAGTATTAGCTCTTTAAGCAGAACCATGCTGTGTCAGTAGAAGAGTGACATAATGTCAGGCTGAAAATTCCTCACGCAAACTCAAGCATCTAAACGAATAATAAAACAGCAGAGTTTTAAGTAGACTTGGCAAGAAATCCCCCATTAAAAAAAAAAGATATCTCAATAACTGCATATGCTTAGAATATGACTTGTTTGCAGCATTTTCTGAATATCACAGCGAGTGTAATGATCACATTCCACACATTTGCATGAAAGGGTTTATGCTGATGATATACTTTATGCTCATGAATCATCGCTTTTCATTGCTGATGAGAGAATTTAAAAAACACTTCAAAGCTTGCCGAGATTTTGAGGCTGTGTTCTGCCACCATGTTTAATCTAAAACACGACACTAAATTTCAGGGACAGACTAATGTGCAGTCAGACCCCTTTCTGTTCAGTAATGAAAATGAGCTCCTCAAGCAGTAACTCCTCAGCTTTGTTTATCTTGTCTGCTATGTTGGGTAGCACTGCAAGAAGGTTTCCATTTCGCTCGTCAGTTTGGGACGTTCTGATAAGAGTCTGTGCTATTTTCTTTTCTTTTCTGGGTACTCCCATTTCCAGTCCACAAACACGACGCGTGTCAAGTCCAACGGGGATTCTCAGTTGACCGTACTTTTGATAGACTGGCAACCTGTCCATGGAAAAGAGGGATAGGCCTCAGCACCCACAGCGCATAAACAGCTTGAAGTGGGTGCAGAGAAGAATAGATTGCTGTTTCGTCTTTAATCTGAAAACTGTCTGGTTTTAAATTGAACCTCTGAATTTTTCAGAAAACAGGAACTACTGCTCTGTATTCACACAGCAATGTTCTGGTAAAAATGGATTTAGTTGCTCATTTGCTTCATAGATAAACCTAAACGTCTGTTACTGGCAGCTACAGTTTATTTTGGGATCTAAAGAGTCAGCTCCACTAATGAACAGATTGCCTATGGCTTGATACTTAAGCCTTCATAGTCTTAAACAGAATTACTGGTGTTAATGGGACTCTTATCTACACTTCCAATGTATTTTAAGACAGTATGTAGTAACTCTAAATCAGCTGGCAAGTCAAAGTTGGGTCACCATCTGCTTTGCAAATTAGTAGTGACAAATACTGCAATACTACACAATCACGTCATAGTTTTGCCTGTATGCCGTTTTTCCACGCATACAGGATAGACGGCGCTTCTATCTATTCAGGACGATCACCAGTTCCTAGAGCTGCACCACTGTCAGAGGTGGTCCGGTTCCAGGCAGCTGGTACTGTACACTCTTAAGCTTAGTCATGGCCCACTGATATACCAACATGTTGTCATTCCCAGGGTGTGAAATACTACAGATACTACTTGTGAAAGCCTTTGATGTCTTTGAGATACTCGTAAGGTTTCCTTTTTGCCTTGATGCAGGGGTTGCTGCAGAAATGGATGCTGATAGAAACTGTTACAAACGTAATCGTGCAGTGTACAACAATGAATAATTCAACGATGAGATCTTAATTCAAGAAATGCTAGGGACAGTTTTTCCATAGACTTTTTCTGCTTTCTTTTCGCATGCTATTTGCTTTTGGTTAAACTTTTTATTTAGTCAGGATATTAACAAAAACACTTGGTTTGGTCTGGGTAGCAGTTTTTGATTTTGTTTTGGTGTAAAAAAAACCCTTGAAAATGTTCAGTCCAGTCCATTATTTCTCTTGTGCTTTTATTTGAGCTCAAATATTGCCTAGGAAAACATATTGAATTGATATGCTTTTGGAACTTGAAAAACTACATCAAGTTGATAAGTTGCTGTATTAATTTCCTGCCTGGGTGAATAAGGCTGAAAAGAACAGCAATATTTTGTCCAAAAAATGGTTTGTAACACATTAATCCTGTCTGCTTAAAATGAGATCATGTAAAACTAATGAAGGGGCAACAGGAACTAAAACTTGGCATTTCAGGCATTTCAATTATAGCTATTGCTTTGAAAAGAAAACACCAAGGACCTCTTTACTGACATGATCATTAATGTTCTTAATTTTATAGATGAGCAAATAAAATCTGTATATGATTGTATATTCTACCAGATCATATCTTTATTATAAATGTTTAAAAAAAAAGGAAATGAAGCCCAATCAAATAAATCACTTGCTTACTGGCAGATTGAGAGGGGATCAAAGTAGAGCTCTTTTGATAGATGATTAATCCTGCTACTAATTTGCAAACACAGTACAGTTCCTTTTCTATCACTGTGCTGATTTACTGCTTTTGCTATTTAAATCACTGAGAAACAATTAGACTTAGTTGAAAGCTATTGGTCAGATACATTAGCTCATTTGAACATATTCTAATGTTGTTTTTCATGTCATTTCTCAATATTAAGGAATTAAACAGCCCTGTATGAGAGTGCTATAACGAAAATACAAGATTGTTACTTTGTTTCTAGAACAAAGATTTGCTCCGGGATGGTTAAGGGTACAATAAGTAAAAGAAATGGCTTAATGGAGATGAAAATATCTGTGCTTTCACCAACTGGTTTAAAAGATTTCCAATGTGAGTTGCAGTTGTTACTTATTTGCATTCAGATTCTCCATCTTTAAGCACATAAGCTCTGAACCTTTATGATGGGATTCATGACACCAAAGTGAAATCATGAATTTGCTTTGGAACTCGTGAAAATGTTCAAGTTCTTGTTGAGAATTTGTGTGTTGCTACTCATATTTAATGGCAGATTGTGTATCTGAGACTATCGCGATTTCTATTATTGAAAACCCGGTGTGCTGCAAGAGAAAATTAACTAGCCACAAAATGAATTACACCATAGAAAAATTGGGTGTTCTCTAACTTGTTTGGTGTACCACAAATACATTTGGTCTAAAATTCAAAATAGTAGCAACTATTTCTTGGAATACATTCAATGTAGAGCTTGACAGAGGTTAAAACAAAAGCTGCAATTTTGGGTTCTTCTGTGCTTCTCCTCTAACTTTTTATGTGTCAAAAAGTCAAAAAGAATTTTGTGTGATCTTGGTTTGAAAAAGGTTACAGTTCAAAAGACATCTTCTGCTGTGTCTGCTATTCAAAGAAAAGAACAAGTATGGCAGAGATGGCAAAGCTGTGCTCTGCATTGGAGAGTCTGTTAAATTAGGTTCCAGACAGTCTCTTTTCAACACATAAAACAGTTAGTTGGGTAGTTTTTTCCTGCTAGTAAACACCAAGCAGCCTCATACATATTTCATTTCATTCTTTCTCTGCTGTTTCACCTGGTCTGGCAACCACTTTATGTCAAAGTACCGCCCCCGTGTGCTTTTCATATTTCAGAGAAGATTCCTCCTAATAGCAGGCTATGTCGTTGACACTGCAATCTCATTTTATATTCGGCATTGCACGTTTGTCTGATTTATTATAGAAATTGTGTTATGTTTCCCATACCATAGGAGTAAAAAAAAAAAGAAGCTAAGTTTAGTGCAGTGCTGCAATCCTGAATACTCAAGAAGAGGTTGCCATGGAAACAGAGTTACATTGGCCAGAAATGAAAGCGACTAAGGATTTAGACTTTCACTGTACATCAATTTTTAACTATGGATTGTTTCTACATCAGCATTTCCACCAACTTCCGATAACCACAACTTCTCCACAAAGCAAGCTTTTCCGTGAAGAACGAAAGAGAACGCAAAAAGAAAAAGCTAAGGCAACAATGATGTGATGACACAAGCCTCTAAGACAATATTAAAGATATATCTCCTTACTGTAAATAAGTTCCACTTGATTTCCTTACAATAAAAAGTGGATATTATTATTCATAATAACAGAAGAGAAAAGCATGTAAAGGGATGTTAATTATTTGCCTGAACTCACCAGAAAATAATATAATAATTCAATTTCAAGTCTTTTCATACCACATGTTTATACATTACTAACTGACTGAATTCATATAAATCTGACTATGTTTTAATTGGTGTTAACACTCCACTTAGTCTGTAAAGCACACTAAAATATATTAACATCATTTAGGAATGTAGATCTACTTTTGCTTATATGTATGATTTCATCAGTATGATACAACATAAATACTGCTTTTTTCTAGAGCCGTAGTTTTATACTCCATGTCAATAAAACTTTAATAGAACTGTTATAAAACTATGGTAATAATCCATCAGGATTTGAATGTCTTTACTAATTAACGTCTGCGGTACCGGCCTATAAGCCTCCCTGTGACATATGCTGTTTTTCTCTGAACCGGTCTATTACAACCACTCCTTTGCCAGTTTGTAACCCTGAATGAACTCTCCCTCCCCTACTATATCCACTGTCTCAAAGAAACAGCTGAATTCAAAATGACCGCAGTGAAGAGTTTTACTCGGGGCATTGCTCTGCTCCAGGAAATGGAATTCCATCATTCCAAGGGGACCCTAGAAAGCAAATTATTGTACCCTTTGAGAACAGCAGCCATGAGATAATCGCTGTTCAGGCACAAAGACTGCAGAATAGTTTGTTTCAGCTGAGAAAAGGAAAATGTGCATAGCCTGACACTGACCTGAGAGAGCTAAAGCGTCCAGCACTCACTCTTCACTTAAAAACCTTCCTCATCTCCACAAATAACAAAGCGGTTCAAATGGATTCAATTCTTTCAGTCAGTAAAAGGGGAAACAAAATTGATAATCTGTGATTAATTAATGTGAAGCACTTCTAATATTAGCTGCTGAGTGTTATTGCCACAGAAATAAAAATCAATGAAATGCAAGCAAGAGCTCAATATTGAGCCTATTTGGATGTGAGCAATTAGCGCCTAAAAAATAGCTCAATATCATCCGTGAGTACTGTTGTAGAAACATATCAGGGCTATCGTAAAAACAGCACACTCTTTTACAGCACCAACATGTAGCCTGGAGCCACAACATGTTGTAAAACAGGCTACTTTCTTTTTCTTTTTTTTTCATAGAGCAGCTATGGAAAATGTAGTTACTTACCTGTGGTCTCTACAATGCCCTCTAAAATCACCACAATTTCAAACTGCTCTGTTTGCATGGACCTCTGTGAGAGGTCGTAGAAGGGGCTTTTGGTGTCAATCACATGGCAGATTGTGAGTGGTGAGACGAGAAAGAGCTGGTCCGCCCCAGTGCTGAAACCCACGTCCAGCTCCAACTGATCCAGCGGAAGAAACTCGCCTTCAGGCGTCTGGCGAGACTGGGGAGGTAGAAAGAAAGAGACAGGGCTGTTTTTATAAGAGAATGGAAAGAGAAATACAGATGTATCTACAGCTTATTATGAGGCTTTGTCTCAGATTTGAACATCTTACAAAGGCAATCATCAGCTTATAAGACAAAAAAATTAGCGTTTTCTTTCATCTCTTGCATAAGAACATTACGGTCTGCATGGATGTGATAGCGCACTTCCTCTGAAAAATGTTTATTAGAAAGAAAAAGAAAAAAACACTTGCAGGTGGGTTCTCGTTGCAGGTGGGTTCATTTACATTGTGCTCATTCGATATGTGAGAATACAGAAACTAGACAATGGATGAGAGCTTTTCTGCATCTATGAAAATGATTATGCCTATTATGTTTTCCTGGCTTTCTGTACATTTCTTTGATAAGCAACAATTACTGCGTGAGCAATTCTTATTCTGTGAGTGTGTGTTTTCCTGAATTTAAAAGTTTTGGTTTTTGCAAGTAGATTTCTGAACCCAAAAGGTTGTGAGCTGAGGCTTTTCAGAGCAGGGAGAGCAGCACATGCACCCCCCACTGTCACAGCCTGTCATTAAAAATGTTTTTAAACTATTAGAAAATTCATAAAGATCGCAGGGACATATGCAGATATGTCATTATAAACGTTACCACATTTTAACAAATATGTGCCTTGGTTGTGATTTATGATAACTAAACACTTCACTGTGTTTTAAATCATTTGTATTCTTTACAATCACAAGACAAATGACATTTTGAAAGTGAGAATAAAAATGTTCCTGAAATACAGGCATTTGTGGAGTGCTTTTATGTCAATATATATGCCTTTGTTCTGTATTTTCTTCTTTGAGAAACATGGGCTGGGCTCTTAAAAGACACTAGACAGAGGAAAGATACACCCCCTAGTGAAATCAGCATCACTTACTTTTAGCAATTTGCAGCGGATCTGTGCAGAGACCATATGGCTGTTACGCAAGTTACCGACCCTGAACATGAGAGTGAGTTTTCCATCTCGCATAGAAATGACCGCGTGTTCACTGAACATCAGCGTCTCTGCCCTCTTCTTGGGCTGAGACATCTTGATAAACATACAGCCGATCAGAAAAGCATCGACGATCGATCCGAGGATCGACTGGAAAAGAAAGAGAATGATCCCCTCTGGGCATTTGTCTGTAATGTATCTGTAACCATATCCTATGGTGGCCTCGGTCTCTATGAAGAAGAGGAAGGCTGAGGGAAAGTTGTAGACATTGGCCACACATGGAGTGTACTTGTCATTGTGGGCTCTGTTGAGGTCTCCTCTGATGTACGCGATGAACCACCACATTGAGGCCATGAAGAGCCAAGCGACCGTGTAGGTGAGGATGAAAATGAATAGGTTCCAACGCCATTTCAAATCTACCAATGTTGTGAACAAGTCCGAGAGGTATCTGCTGGTTTCACCACCCAGGTTCCCATGCTGGACGTTACATCGCCCGTTCTTGTCCACGAAACGCTGCCTCTTCTTCTTTTTCTCCGGTGGAGGCTGATTGAATCCAGACCCGCTGGATGAGGTGGTCACTACCTGATAATCGTCCCCAAATTTCTTTCGAAGTGCAGACATACTACGATGACAACAGCGAGAGAAATAGCAAAGGATTCAGTGTTTTAAAAGTCCGGCTTAGTTGCTGCAGTCGCTGGTGTCCGTGCGCAATGTCTCTTGTTTTGGGTGGAAAAAAGGCGATAAAAGTGCGACGTCTTCGCCTCAGTTAAACCTGCACCGTCCTCCTTCGCCACACAATACTGTTGCTACACTCTACAGCCATGAAATATTAATAATGCACGAGTTTCCTACAAACCCCAAAGATAGAAGCCATATAAGAAAAACCAAGCGTCGCTCGGGATAAGGTATCCAAACGCGCCAGTCGCCGTCCAGGTTTTTACAGATTTAGCTGCGTCGTGAATTACTCATCACCTGTGAAGGCTGTGGCTCTATCGACCTGTGCTCAACTGTACTCACAGAGTAAGTTTTCATGGGAAAGTTGAAAATCCCTCTGCGGTCTGTAGGGCAATTATCCCTGCGTAATTATTCGCTGGAAATCTGTTTAAAGGCTGAAACCACTCTGTGCGCACTTTCAACTGTGTTAGAGATGATTCTGTTTCCAGTCCTTCCTTTGTGATCTGTGCACATCGGAGATAAAAAACTACAGCCAGGCGGTAGAATATGATGAGCAGGAGGAAGAAAATCACGGTCCCTCCGTCGTCATTTTGGGCTGCGCGCGTCCGCGTTGACTGCCAGGCTCTTTTCGGACAGCTTTCCGTCTGTCTTAGTGTGATGTCGACCGGTTTATCATGGTTCAGCGGCACCGAGATCCACCAGAAGCTGTTTTGGAGGCTTGGATCCGTATTTCCTTTCGATTATTGCTCGGCCCCTGCGCACTCTCAGGTTCCCGGCGACGCAGCCTACTCACTGTTGCCTAGTGGTACTACAAAGACAGACATATTAGAGGAGGAGGGAAGAAGGTTCGTCTAATTTGACAGGGTTCTGTTTTTTTCACGACAGCTCAAATGTGAAACTGCGGCAAGGCTATGACTCTGAAATCGTCACATTAAACGAAACTATTTTGGGCCAACTTCACGAGTCCCAGTAAAGAGATCTTGTTTCTATTCTCAAGACTGATTACAAAATTCAACTATAAAAACCGGAAAAGTATCCTTTAGTGCTCTCATGAGTTGCAGTTGTATCTGAGATGTGGCTTTCAAATGTATTCTTACAATAAAAATCTGTCTTTTATGTGTTGTGGTGCTGTGCTCCAAAGAGGATGCTTTTGTTCAACTGAGGTGGAATCCAGCAGAGAAAGGGGCCACAGTGTTAATGTGAGCTAAACATGGGGCTAATTCTTCCAGGTTATCTGTGATATCAGCCACTGACACCGTGCACTTCCTTTGAGGCCGTGCACCATGCGGGCCTGTCAGCATCAATCTATTCTGCAGGGAAGGTGTCCACGCTCAACACAAACTGTACTAAATACTAGAGAGGGCAAAAACCTGCCGCCAAAAGTTCTCATCAACTCACCAGAATCACGGGGACAGAGGAATACTTCTCATCCTTGCAGCTCGGGCTCACACACAATGTCTGTCAAACACAGGAGGCAGACAAAACAACATACCAACACCGCTCCGACAAACAGCTGCCCATCTCTGGCCCTATTCTGTTTCCCCGTCCAGATAACTGCAGATATGATATATACATGTGTATATTTACACCGTATCAACAAACTGAGTGTTTCTGTTTTATTAGTTATTACTGAACTAAATAAATACACTGTATATGAATAAATCAATTCAAAATAACCACCTACATGCTTATTACACTTTATAGTGTGCAAATAGGCATAAAGAATTTCATGAAAACACACTGCTTTTGTTCCTTAGCCTGATTCAACCTTCGTTGAAGGTATATAGAAAATATCTAGTGACAGTGAAACCAGAAATGGCCTGAGCTCACAAGGATCAATATTCAGTCTGGTTCCAGGCAAAATCCAGCTCCCTATTCTCTGGTAACTCCCTGTGGTTTACAACATGATCTTCTATTCCATGTCCAGTGTGACCTCAGAGAAAGCCTCCCTGTATGGAATCTAAAAACAGCAGCAGACGCAACTGTTTCCAAACGAATGACTGCATAGCAGCACTGTGCAAAGTTGAGATATCTCCGAGTGCTGTGTGCAAGGCTCTGTGACGTAGCCCTCTCGAGGGGGACAGGCAGGAAACGATTTCCCCATCAGTCATCAGGCCATCATAATTGCCAGGTGAATATTAGCCATCCAGCCTCTGCAGGACTCCATGCTTTTATAATGAGCAAAGGGGGGGGCATGGGTCATCCAATCTCTGTATACCAGTTCTCATTAGGAGGAAGAGGCCATTCACGTGTTTGCAGAGTAAAAATAAGGCTTTTACTTTGGACTGTCCAACAGCCACTCAGCCAGCACCTGCAGCTAGACAATTTTAATTACTACATTTCACACATGTAGTCACAGAGACAAAAGTGTTTGCCTAAGTATATCCCCTGCATGTCATTTTAGGTCACAGCTGCATTTCTAATGGTACGTTCCCTTTGCATGTCACTCTTTTTTTCAGGGTAAAAACTGAACAATCTTATCCTTTAACAAGGAATTATTCTATCCACTGAATGAAGATGAAAATGTCATTGGCTGACTTTGTTCAGCTGAAAATGTGTACAATTTCACAACTTATTCAGCAGATCACGTTCTTTGTTTCTCACTGTCTTTGTCGGACAGTTTTTCTTAATCAAATTAAACCACTACTGAGTTTGAAACATCATATACACATCAAATTTGGTGATGACTTAAGGGGAAAACTGAAAAATGTCTTCAATTTCTTTGATACTTTAACATTTTGGTAGTTTTCTAATGAAAGAAAACGTGGAATGCGCAGCACATAAAGAAGCAGAGATTCCTGATGTGAAGAATCCCATTCTGTAACATTAGCAAAGATCAGTGTGTTTATTTGAGACCTCCGTCACACAAAGTTGTCAATGTTGAATAGAAGATCAAACATGTCCAAGGTCTGTAAGTGACCCCACCATAAACCGAGCATAAAAGCAGTATTCATTGAAATTTACTTGTGTCACACAGTTTAATGTATTTTGTTCTCTCCATTTACATTGAGAAGCTTTCACGTCCACGTGGACTCATTTCATGATCACTGAGACAGTCCCACAAAGCCAGTATCATAAAGAAGTGCTATTTGTGCATGTTACTCAAACTGATCAGCCGGGCAGGAGTGTATAGCAACCTTTTGTTGGACCATCACTCAAACGTGTCCGACCCCAAAGTAACGCTTCTGTTATCCTGCTGAGCACAAGTGCTTTGTCAGTGACAGTTAAACACAAAAGAGAGGTTAAGGTCCAGGCTTGTTCTTGTCACACACCGAGAGGCGGCTGATGTGCAACACTCAGCACTAAATTGGAATATATGCAGATTGGTTCTCCTTTGATAACAGGGATTTTGAAAAGCAGCCCTTTTTGCTTCAGTTTAAAAAGGATTTTTGTTAGTGACTTCTAATTAATTCCCTTTTTTTCCACGACAAAATGCCACCCTATTACCGTCCAGCGCTCTGCATTTATTGCAGATGCCACCATTCGCAACAGTTTGTGTCAAGCTTGCGTTCATGAATGATCAGGCGCACTTTGAAGATCTTCTGTAACCCATTTCTTAAAAATAGCCCCAGCAAAAGCTGATGGGCGGGTGGGGTTGGGATTGATTTATTAATCTAATCAGACCAATGTAGGACACTAGATGCATTTGTCCCCCTCTCCAAATCAGCAAGAACAGCACTTGAGGTCATTCACCAGGAAGATCAGACAATCTTCTCTAATTCTTCATCTTCCTCTGTAATCTCTGCAATCAGAGACAAAGCAAGGAAAACCGCTTCGGCTGTGATGTTGGCTTTGATTAATTTGTTCGTCTATGCCCCCCAAAATTGCGATTTCCTCACAAAATATTGTCAGTAATCTTTATTTTTGCTGTAACATCATTGATTTTTTTTTTGTACTTGAACAAACAATCCTCTTCACTTAGGAGACATATACGATGAAGATTAGATTTTAACTGGATGTGCTGCCTGCTCGCTGGATGTGGGAGCGCTCCGCAGCAGAGCCATATGGTGGATGAGCACAGCAGCATCCAGCAACAGGGTCATAATTTGGAGCTTTTAGAGGACAAATAAAACTGTCAACATTTTGTGGTAATCAAATGACATTACAGCTGCTCAGGAGGGACTGAGAGAGCGATGGGGAAGATACCTGTGAGAGTCACATAATGGCTGAGGAGATGATTCAGAAGATTATAGTCTTCAACAGGTACAGTCAGCACCAGAACAGAGAATATCATTCTGTGTTGTCTGTTTTTTTTCTTCCCTTTCCTGGCTAAAGAAAATCCTTATTTGTAGTCGATGTGGTTAAAAATAGCATCTGAACAGGATTTCTTTGTAGAACAGCTTCTGGAGATTGGTGATTGATTACTACACAATTAGTGCTGAAAGCAGCAGGGCCCCTCCTCCTAATCACTGCTTTCGTCGCTAAAAGGAGATTATCACATCTGCGCGGCTTGTTAGAACGACTTCCTCCCTGAAAATCAATAAAAATTACTCAAGAGATTGTAAGCATGCATTAGATGTGTCGGTTGAATCCCAGGGCTGCCTTTGTGCACGTACAGACAAGTAGTGTACGTTGTTCTGGGAGAGTGTGTGTGGGTGTTTGTGTGCCTCATGTGGCGCTGGATGTGCCCCCCCCCCTTCTGAGAGACCGGCCCCAGACCACATCTAATTAAAGCTGCTTTTTTAATGCGGCCGCTCTGGAACTTCAGGTCCCCACAACAATTAAGAGCAGGATTTCTCCCTTGGTCTGAGGCGCAGAGAAAAGGCACATCCAGAGGGTTGATTATCCCCTCGCTCACCCCCACTCTGCCTCCTCCCATTATTGGATTCACTCAGTTAATGGAACCCCACATTTTTATATATAAAGAGAGAGAGAGTCGGAGCAGGGAGAGGGGCATACAATCAAACACACCGGTGACAGTCTGAGAAAACGGCACCAAAATGTACAATAATGTATTTAAAGGCAAGCCATTAAAGATACATTTTTAGTCTGACGTCGAGAAAACGTCCATGGGACGTGGACAAAAACATTCACGGTGTGATTGTACACATTTGGCTGTGTTCTGGCGCCTTTGGCACAGAACTGGTTTGCCAGATTTGCTTTATGTGTGGATTTGGGATCAGTTTGGGCAGCATCTGCATGCAGACTAATTCAACGGGTTCTGGGCCTTCTGTGGCCCGTGTGTGGCTACAAGATTTTGGGCAAGACTGACCTGGTTCATTATCAACACCCACATTTGGGCTGTCATACTTAGGCGAAATCTGGGGCATTGCTCATGCCGCATGTGGGCAGAGTTATCTTTCGCCCAGTTCCTGGATTTGTGCTGGTATGGGGCCACGGTATTTTTACAGCACCGGAGCCCACCAAAAATTGTTTAAAGGTCACCTCATCTTTGCAATATGCCACACAATGTACCTGAACTAAACATTGATTGAAAAATATTAAAGGAAATTCCTGATCATGAACCTCAAACATTGTCCTGTTGTCATGACAACGCAGCCACATGCTCTAAATGGATCTCGTCGTGCTCCCGACGTCTGAGTCGGTCACACTCAGTCCTCCATCAGAAAATGCTCTCTTTTCACAAAAGTTCTAATCCTCGTCCAAACAAAAAACAAAATAGCTCGATCTCTCTTCATTCTGTAGGGACTATACTAATCTATATTAATCGAGTTTCTGGAAAATAAATTAAAATTTTAGAAAAACATATCAAACATTAGAATAGAGGTGACTTCAATGCTCACCTGTTTCAAAAAGAGAATTAGTAAAAAATTGGAATGTGGCATTTAGTCTCTCGGCATGGCCTCATATATTTTCTGAGATTGGTTGTGTCAAAACTCAAATAAAAGAGAACATCCAGCCTCTGAGCGTGTTCTAAATATTCAGGAGCAGCAATACACCTCGGATAGCTACAGATAACGTTTCCATTAGGGCTAATATTCAAAGGCATCACACCCCTTAATGGACTCCTCTGACCTCGCCACCAAACCACTATCTTATCCTCGCAGGCCCAGTTTACCGGCCTGTTTGGTTTCCTGCAGGTGTGAGACTGTTTGAACCATCAGTCGGTCCCCAAAGGGCCCCTTCCAAGAATGTGATGAGGCACTGATATTCTGTCAGCTCCACAACAACTGGTAATGCCCTCCACCATTACAACTTTGTAAAGATTTGTCAAATATCTATCAAATACACTTGGGGAATGAAAATCCACTGTTGAAAACTCCTTATCCTTTGTGTTTTGCTTTTAAATGTACTGTAAACATGAAACATAATCATCCGATGATGACCTAAGTATAGGACAAAAAAGCTTCTTTTATTTTTTAGTAAAACTGCAGATATAGCTAACCTCGCTTAAATAATACCAGACCGATGACTTGACAGAGAGATACCTCTTTTCCTAGCCAAGTTATAAAATAAGAGCTTACTGTATATAACAATTTTCTCCACGTCCCAACTATCATTTTTAAAGGTTAAATACCTTATAAAAAGTTCAAGTCTTTTTTTAATATTCCAGTCAGTGAAATGAGCACATTTGGTGCTCAAATATCTAAGAGCTCTGGACATTGGTCAGACGAACAGTGCCTCATTAATGATCCACACTAACCATGTGTCTCAAACAGACACTGACAGACATGGAGGATTCTGGTGATGGGAACCGCAGACTTTCCAGTTAATCGATAAAAGCTTCAAAGAACCAGTTCCAGCAAGACTGGAGGGTTTTAAACATCTTTAATAATTAATCATGATGAATTAACAAGTATTTTAAAAAGGCCATTTTGTACTGATGCCGATAGGCCTACCGTTGCCTATCTGAAACATAGGTTAGCTCTTTCAGAACCCGTATAGAACCAGTTTAGTTCTGTAACTGGTGAGGAAGAGGAAGCCTGCAGCTGTGAAGGTCCAAACTTGTTACTGAGATGACATGTGGTGTAAATCTGCAGATCTATTATGTGTACAAAAAACCTCTTCAACACATTTGCTAGAAGTCAAAGAAAAATGAAAAGCCCAGTGCCCTAAAAGAACAATACAGACTCTTTGAAATAATGATGAGTTATACAATATTCAGTGTTCAAAGCCAGTTGGATATTCCCTGTCCTCTATCTCTGCTCTCACTCTTTTTTCTCAGTCCTGTTCAGGGAGAGTAATTTTGCCTCTTAGGCTTTGACAAAAGCAGAGTCCTCTGAAAGGTCAAGCCTTCTTAGCTAAAATGTACACAGAATAATGACCCAGGTCAGGGGTACCTTCATTTGCTGACAATGGCAGAATCCTTACGCATACTGTACAAAAGCAGACAGTAACATCCATTACAAACTCTTTTTTTGGACAAAATTTTGCACTCTGTTATCATGGAAAATATGAAATTAGACAGCACACTCACTAAATGCATCCTGGTAATGAGATCCAAGGTGTTATTCCCTTATTGATAAACTTGTCTGTTGGTGCTGATATCACCAGAAGATTTCACGTTAATTCTATATTAAAAAGAAGTTTTATTGTTTTCTAGAAAAAAAAGGCAAAACGTAAAAACAGTTAACAACACTTTGCAATCAGTACAATGAAACATTACATTCCTATTTTCATAACATGCTCTTAAATATACTGAAAAACAAGAAATGTGTTTGTTTTATATCAAAGAGGTAATACAATTTTAATCCGAATGCAAAGCAGTAAGTTGGGAAGGATTCAGTATTCAAGTAGCATAAACAGCATTTGACTCTCAGTAACGCTCACCAGAGGTTCTTAAAATTGTCAGAGAATTGGTTTTTGTGGGACCGATAATGATATAAAGAACCCTCATCTCAAAGCAACACATCAATAACAGTGATTTTTTTATCATTCAAGACTTCTTCACTGATAAGTGTTCAAGTTTTGTAGCATATTAGAAAAATAGTTGGTTCTTTATGTACAACAACCAAACGTCAAGTTCACAGCGGCATATTCTTCAACACTGGCTGTCTGTGACCATCTTACAGTGCAGTAAAAGCTGCTTTTGCATGGCGGATTGGTGAATGATAGCATGAACATTCAGATTCTGAACATCAGATAAAGAAATATTGTGACAGTGAACTAATCGTGAGACTTGACGAAAATGTAACCCTTAAAACGTCCTCTGAATTGATCCCGATTTTTAAGGAACTAAAAGGAATATATTGCAGGATTTTATTTGGAGTGAAAACATACGTTCAACAAAGAAAAACAATTCAACAGTCAAAATCCATTTTAAGAAACAAACAAACCAAAAAAGCTTTCTGAAGGCACATATAAGTATCCCTCTCCAAGATATTGTGATTTGTACAGACAGTCCAAAGAGAAGGAGTCTGAAACCTGGAACCAAGTGACTACAAAAATCAATTTGAAAAATAAAAATGTTCTCAAAAAGCCATAACAATAAAGTGGGATTTTCCATATAAAGTTTTTTTAGTTCCTTTCGTGTTTACAGACAGCCCATTAGGAAAGTAACATCTGTAAAATGGCAAAATTGTCTCATAGTTAAAGTATTCAAACCCATCATGACAGTCTCCCTAACCAAAAGGAAACATTAATACCCGAACTTTCCAGATATGTTTAAGGTACATGACAGATAGATTCTCCTTAACACAGTCTTTGCACTTGCAAGGTTGAGCTTAATTTAGATATAGGTTTTACATTTAAAGTTGAATAATATTCAAATTTAAAAGGGAAGGAATTATTTTGTAACAATTTAAATGATAAGCCTGATTACAATAGAATCAGACACATTTAAGAATGTGTTTACATTACACTTGAACAATCCATTTAAAGCTACAAATGATGGCCTGTTTGGCTTTGTATGGGAGGAATGTGCCACATTACTTGACAAAGAGTTCAATCGGCAGAGAGCAGCAGGTCATGTCTCTGTGCACAGGTTCTCGTCTCCACAGACTGCCATACCGGACATTATATTTCTATTATAGCCCAAATTGGAAAAAAAAAATCAAACACTGCCTCCAGAAAGATAGTTTTTTTGCTCTATAGTTTTTTTTACACACTATGCTGGTGTGAGGTTGGGGCTGTATGGCTGTATGGCTTTACTGGAGCAAACATCCTGACATTTCACAATCACTTACTAACCAAATTTAAGGGACTTTGCTCCACACAGAATTCATTAAGGTTTATCATTTTGATCAATGAAATCAACATTTGTTGTTTCTTAATGAAAAGTAACCTTGCAACAGTGCTTTCCGTGGGTGTTAACTCACTGCAACCTGATTGGTTTACAGCAACGAGAGCAGCTACCATGGTTGCTGGTTGCTACGCCTAAAAAAAGTTAAAAACAAACTTGTTTTAGAAGAAAGAGTTCAATGAAAGGTTAGAATGATAAAAAAAAAAAAGACAGACATCTTCAAAGCCTGATTCTACAACGATATGAACACAAGTACGCAGTTAATACAGGGTGATATTCTTCATTTTGTAAATGTCCACAAAAGTTGAGTGTGCCTTTTTGGGGATGCTGACCCTCATGTGCCAGCAGCTCCTTCCTTTGGAAACTCCCATCTAGCAGCTTAAAGCCTAAATCCAGAGATATGCTTGAAAGAGTACATACCGTACATCAACAGTAATTAAAGTATTACTGTAGTCTTAAACAAGAGTGAAAAAAACACTCATGTAATTTTTTCCATTTTCACTTTTCTTTTTTTTTTCAAAGATAAAAAGTATTGTAATCGGCCTCAAAAATCCTGCTTGTTTTCACTAAATGTAACAAACATTGATGTGAAAAGGGGATGAGCTACAAACTAGGTGTGTTTTAATATTCAACCCACACAAATGTACTACCTGGAGGCTGCACATAGAAAGTCAGTTGGACTGACGACAGCATCAGAGATGTGTCTTTAAATGCTCCTCATGTAATCAACTCCACATGCTGGAGTGGTTTTCAGAAGCAAACGCACAGGAAACTAGTGCCCGGTCCAGCTTTTATCCATTCACCTGCCCAAAGCATCATAACAAGGTGCCTAAAACTACACGGTGTCATGTGGTCGGACAGGCAGGTGCAGCTTTTCTAAAAGCCTGTGAGCAGCTGTAAGAGAATACGCCTCCATAATGGAAAAATAAGGCGCTGCTGGACCTCGGTATCTGTCGGCCAGGCTGTTACAAGAAGAAGCATCTGCTGTGTGGTAAAAGCCACCTGGTGAGGGTGTGGACATCCACGGCAGCGTGGGCGGAAGATAGAGCAGTGGGGGGGAGTAATGAGGTGAAGGATCAGGCGCTCAGGGTCATATTACGGAGTAGCCACTGCTGGGAGCGGCTGCCATTGCAGTCTCTCAGAGTGGGAACCATCTTGTCCTCCTCAGATGGCATGTCCAAACACTGGTTGCTGTTCACATGAAGCAGTGTGAGCCGCTAGGGAGAGGTAAGATAAAGAAAGAAGACAAAAAACAAACAATTAAACATATGGATGAGTGTAGAGATGTGAAACAAACACAAGTTAAATGCAGCTTGCTTGAATCAAGAAGATATGCGCACATAGTTTTCGACATTTTACCGTTTCATGAACTGTATATCAGCAAGTATCCGGAAGGTTTCATTTACATTGACGCCTCAGATGAACCCTCACAGGCACATCCCAACAACTGACTCAGTTCATTAGACCACAAACAGTAAGAACAGTCTCGTAGCGGGGGGAAAGCCTTGCCATTTACACAGAAGTGGAAGGATTTCTTTTCTCTGTGAATAGCTGCTCGACATCCAGCGCGACGAAATTAAACAAGGAAATTGAACTATTCGCAAAGATAAATGCTAACCTTTTGTTGATAGTGCTAATGGCACAGAAAAGCTCCTGTGCCGAGTGCAGCTCTGTAAAACCCCACGTCTCTATGCTGACTTCAACTGATCTTTTCTGCCCTGCAATAATTCAAACTTAAGTGACTGACTTGCCAGGTTAAGCAGAGGATAAATTACCAGTAAATTATGAACAAGCATGTAGACAGTGATGAGACAAGCTGTTATCACACAAGCGTCTTGCGGAGATCTTGCATTTTCCCTTGAGTATCTCGGGATAACTGCATGTGCACACTGCATGTGCTAACGACAGCTAATCTTCTGAAGAATTGACTGAGCAAATTTCTGCTAGTGAAGGTTTCTGCTTCGATCTGTTTTTTTTTCTTGTTGCCAATTTGTGCACTGCCTTGTACCCTCTCAGGAATCCAAGTCTCATAAAAACATTCTCCACATACTGGAAATAAACCATTAAAAAAAAACACAGAACACTTTTGGTAACATGTCCCAGAAGAGTGTAGAAGTGTAAAACAGTTACACATCCAGAAAAACAGATTCAGACTTTTATCATTAATTTGGGGGCATTTCTCTGGAATCCTGTTAAATGTAAGTCCCTTATTTATTTGTCTGAGTTTATTTGTTTGATTTCATTTGTCAAATCATCACAATACAATTCTTTAGAATTCTCTTTGACCTCTTTTTGGTTCGAACACAGTCAGCTAGAGTATCAGAGCACTTGAATTTATTAATTCTGAATATTTAAACAACCATCTCTTCATTACTTTTTCTAAATTAACTTTGTGATCTATGTGATATAATAAGTGTTTTAGCTCTACATCCCCATCAGTGGTGCTCTACTAGATTGAACTTTCTGAAAAACTGTAACAGACTGCAGACCTGTGTCTTTACTGATGGAAACCAGCCTTCTTCTTGTATCCCCTGGATTTCAAGATCAGAGAGCAAGTCCAGCCAGCCTTAATTAGAATAACTGTCACATAACTGACTTGTTTATGGTTCAGCATAGATTTTTGCATATATTTAGAGGTAGATAAATGATGGCATATTGTAGAGGACAAGGAACAACAAAGCTTAGTTAATATCTAATAATATTAAAAAGATAAAGTTATGAGTAAGACACAGTGTTATATCACTTCATCTGCATGGCATTTGTTAAAAGTGTTATAAATGTAAATCTACATAAACATCCATTTCATTACGTACAGCAACAAACACATGAACCCACCAGAAGCTAAAATGAACATCTCCAATATAATCCACATGTTTTGACTGCCTCAACCATCATAAATGAATTAATAAAGGGAACACAGATGATGCGTCAGACATCGCGGGCCAAATGGACCATCGCCTACAAGTGAAATCGACCAGGAGACAAACTGTTTCAGGATCTGTCAGCTTCAGCTCAGGTGACAATGACTGATAAACAGGCACACTTCTTGGATAGACATCATAGAAAAATTAATGATGTCTGAATTCCATTAAATTGCTTCATTTTCAAGGTTGTGGCTTCGTGCCTGATGGCTCACTGTCACAGTCATGGTTTACAGAGACAACTAAATGGAACTGGGACATCACCAATGTAATAAATGGTTTTTTTTCTTTCTTTTTGTTGCCTGTTGACCTGTCATTTCTTCATTTCTGCTGTTACGTCAAGTAGGCAGAAAATAAACTAAATTTAAAATAAAATCCTGTTGGGATGAGCTGAAGTCCATCCACATAGGAGCATAAACCATGTGACGGAATCTGTGGCTATCTGCCACGGCAGCACCAGAGAAAACACCCCCCACAGACAACTGCGGGAGGGATCTCAATGGCCTTGATTAACCAACTATATTCATGCCCTCAGAAGTAACTTGCTTCCGCAATTTCGTTTCACAGTTAAGTTGCTTTTCGCAAACTAATGATTTCCAACAGATGAATAGAGGACTCAAATTCAAGGAAAGGACATTCAATTATGGAAAAACAACTTGATTTTGGAGCTACAATACCACCGAGTTTATAATGTATGAAAATCTGTTAATTTAAAAAAGAAAAGTTAATTCAGTCAAAGATCAGTGAGTGCCGATTTAAGAGTGAATCTTCATAAAGCTTTACCTTGGGAGTGGTTCTCTGGCACAATCAAATTCAATACATGAGAACAACACTAAACTTCAGTCTGCACACAGCAAAACCCCAGCACTGGCATGGCTTTTTTAAATCCTGCTGTAGAGGCATAAAACTCAATTAAAAGAAGATTATGCTTTGGCTGTTGACTGAGGATATTCAGACTAATGAGCTTGCAGAGATGCTTAGGACACGTTTGATCTTAAGCTATAAAACAAAAGGACCATCCTATGTCTGGGTATGAATAAGCGCCCACACACAACATACATACACATGTATTTTTCCTGAAGTGCACATTGCAGACTCCTTGATATGGCACATTTGATCAAACAGTAAGAACAAAGAGCAGGTGGGACATGATGCACCTGCCAAAAGAGGAGAGACAAGAACAATAAGGTTGCTTCTTTTAAAAGAGACAAACAATGACAAAAATAGACAATGTAATCCAGACATGAAAAAATATACTGCGTCACCAACAAATAATAGACTTTGAAGGCAGATTCAGGCTATGCCCATTTCCAGGCTACAGTCAGATCTTATGTATAAGTCATGAGGCTGGTTAAGAGAAAATCAAGGAAGGAAGATTACTTCTCCTCTATAGGTCCAAAGCTACTGTTAAGGCAAGATATGATGGAAAAGAAGCATCATACTGGAGGGTTAAAAAAAAGTCTTAAATCTAATTAAATCATTACAAGTGCGGCTATCCCACTCTTTGATAATAATTATTTCATATTAGTTGCGGGGCAGAGAAAACTTCCATCTCAGCCTTCCAGCAAGCAAAGTAGTGCCTCCAGAACAAGTTACTGAGTGTGTGCACTGCTGAGACCAGCTAATTAAATCAGAGCGTCCTCTAACCATATACCCAGGTCGAGAGATAGCACCCCCTTATCGCCAGGTTGCACAATGAATGTGTAGCAAGGCATAAGTGTCCCTGTTTGATTGTAGAGGGAGATCCGGGTTGCGTTTTTTGGGTTTTTTTAAGGGGAAAAAAACACAGCAGATCTCCTTTATCTCAAAGAAGGGTAAGCAGCAGCTTAATTTGCGTTAATGGCAGCCAACCCTTGTGTGTGTGCTCTCCTGCTGTGAGGGCAATGTCAAAGGGAATTGAACACCAAATCAGGCCATCTAACAGCAGGTTACTTCACTGCCGCAACTCTGACACACACCAGCAGTTATGGGAGCTCCTAACTCAATTTACTCCTGCTTGGACACAAAAGCTGAGGCATGCTATGGGCTCTTTAGCCTTTTGAGAGTTACAAAAGTGCAGGAATCTGAAGTGAAAACCTGAGATAACTCAGCAGAACAGGGCACAAAAGAAAAAATGACAGCCAGACACAAATGCTGGGGAAGATGAGAAAGCAGCAACCCTGAAACGGACAGAAATGCTGAGCAAAACAACATTTGGAACAGAGATATGCAAATAAACAAGGTAAGAGTTGATTATTAGGATTCACTTGATTTACAATACGTACATGGCGCACAGTGTGCACAGCTGCCTGTGGCCAGTACGAGGGTAGCCTGAGAGTCCAGGGCCATGAAAGGTGGATTCACAATGAAGGATCACTTCAAAGAACTAGTAAACAATGGGATGCCCGTTTCAATCAGCCCTGCATCTAGATAATCAGCTAAAAATAAACATGTCCTTCTCTGTCTCAAACATCACTCCGCAGGGGCGGGCTGTCCAGGAGACAGCTTGAGGATTTTCACATCAAAATAAAATATTTATGGTGGAAAATAAATGTCAAATGAGATCTAATTTAGCATGAAGGCAAGCTAAAGGTCTTGCAGATTCCATCTTATAAACAGGAGCATATTGATGGGACATCTGTCAACATGTTCCTGCTCTGTCTTCAAGCATTCCCTCTAAAAGGTCACTGCTAAAAGCTTTTAAATGCTTCCTTAAAAACAATCCACATGCTCAGTGTGACTGAAAGAACAACATGCTTTGTATTAATCTGCTTTTACAACAAAAAAACAAATAAACCCTACTAATATGACAATCTGTAATAGAGATGCCCTGTAAAGCTCAGCTATCAACTACACAGTCTAATAAAACTAATCTACATTCCTACAGAAGAGCTAAAATGACCATCCAGCCTCTATTCTACGCTTAACTTGTACTACTCTGCTCACCTCAGGTGGCCCCACACATGGCCCCCAAGAGCAGACTGGAGTTTAGAGAAAATAATCCGTAGGACTGAAGTAAAGGTGTCGCGCAACCTCCAGGCGAGTGTAGTTGTGGAGGACCCACGACTGTAAGGGACTGTTGTCACAGTATTCCACGGTCGGGCCATAGGTGCCATCCTCCAGACGGCTGATGGTCAGACATGACTGGGTGATGATGTGGAGGAAGGTGTGCTTCTGCAGTCAGCCGGAAGGGAAGAGGAACAGATGCTTGTGAGGGTAATACAGAGGGTTAAATGAGTTTTTCTGAAATACTAGTGTTTTCTTCACAAAAAAACTACAACGTCACAAGTGTTTTCTGACAATAAATGCAAAAAGCTGTGATTCATCTACGGTTTCAAAATGTAATAGAGGGTGGCAATCAATAAGCTCATGAAATAATTCATCTGTTTCAGAAGCCTCACTTTGGCTGTGTCTTAAATTCAAAACAGGAAACAGAAACAGAAAAGTGAGTGTGCAAAGAGTGAGGAAAGAATTATGAACTACTTGAATGAAGCATCAATCTTAAGTTATTTCAATGACATATCGGTTAAATATGGAAACTTCTGGCAATGAAACACATAATATGAGCGCCAATTCGTGCAATACCAGCTGAAATATGTTGAAAGGGTTTCAGAAATTAAATAGTTGAGGTTGTCTGATCTTATTGGTATCATCTAATTAAATAAAGAACTGAAAATTTAAATTTGTTATGGCAACATTTTGATCTTATTATTCATATCCAGGTTACAGAGTTTTAATCAGACAGAGCATGGACAAAGAGTTTCTCAGGGGGTCATGGAGCATCTGGTACCAAAACTTTATGTATATGTAAATAAATCCTTTAGGTTTCTTGCTTTAAACACTTTGTATGTAGGTGGTAAGAGTCAAAGTTACATTAATCTAAATACCAAGATTCAAGTTCTCCCTGCACAACACTGTATAAGATGAGCAGAGTTAGAAACTTTCAATGTGTGGTGAAAGTTTAATGGCTTATCTGCATATGTGCAGACGCATTGTGATACAGTGGTTCATGGTTTTTGCATGTTGAATATTTCAGTTTGACTTGATTGAACTTACAACCCAAAACATGACAGTTACCGTAACGACAACTAGGGTAATGATTGGAATACTCACAATATTACTCATTTGTAAATAGCCATCAATCCATCGTGACCTTTTTATGGCCTATTCTAATTTCATATTGAGAATTTAATACACTCTACAGCTCAACCACTGTACCTAATAAATTCATTAGTTGAATTTAATTTCCCCAAGTATGAGAAAAATAACACTGATTCAAATAAACATAAACTGCTAAAAACATGAACATTAACAGGGCTTGAAAAAATTAAGATCATCCCGACACTGGTAATCAACTATAATAAGGCTGGACCACACCGACACAAATTTTCACACATACAGGATAGTAACAAAGGGCTAATAGTTGGAAAATAATCAGACTTTAAGAATCTCCTTGGCACATCTTTGGAAACAAGTTTCACCACACTTTGTATCCCTTGTATTTTCACATGTCAAAACAGCTTATTTCTAGCTGAAACAACAGTGAAGACGTGGCATGGTGGTTTGTATGAACCTAAAGGTGGGAACACAAGAAAGTCAGGTGTTTATGTCAAAGTGCAAGCGATGAACAAATGAAATGTTCATGAAACTGTGGTCACTCAGGTTTTAGGACTTGTCAGTCACACCTGAGCTATAAATAATCTCAGCCAATGACTGTGGTAAACACAAATTCAGTTTACAGGGAAGAGCGGTCCTCTTCGTTTATGAATTATTGAACTTTCTTTACTTTGAGCAAGCATCCAGAGAACAAAGCGTAATGAAAGGATTTCTCCTGGGGTTTGTTCAGTGCTTGATGGAACGGCCTATGGCCTCCATCACACTGTCATATCAGCAATAGGACATCTTAATAACAGACAGAAAACATTCAGTACTTTTAAGCTTCTCCCCAGAGGATAAAAAAATGCATGAATTTTTAATATGAAAATGCTTTTTCTGTTGTATAACCAGTAATTCATTTCGACTTGTCAGGAAACAGGGCTTGAGGAAAATGTTTTCGATAAACTATGAGATTCAAAATGCTCTTCTGTTTCTGCACATAACATCTGTTTCAGCATTTGACTGGATATTGAAAGACCAGCTTGTATAACAAGGAGCAAAGTAAAAGAAAAAAAAAGTTTACTTTTGTGTATAATATGCACTCTCTAGCACTGTTATCTATCTCACTTTGTTTACATTCGTATTTAACAGAAACACAAATTATAAACTGTGAATTAAATGTTTGTATAATCAAGGTATGTGCAATTTTAAAGACTTTAAAGTAGAACATAAATTAATACGTTTTTTCTACATTTCATTTATTATCATTTCTACTGAAATTGAATAGCCATCATTGCCATAGAAACATTTGTATAACTATGGGGTGTTTTGGTCTCTTGATTTTGGCTGCTGAATTTTTATAATTAAATAAAAAGGATTTACTGCAAAACATGTTGCGATCTCACTCAAATTATCATTCCACATTAGTCCTCCTACTAAAAAAGAAAAAAGGACTCAATTTCACAGCAAAATTTCTCTGATCTAATCTAATGTCCACTGGCACTCCAGAGTCCACACAGTTAAAGGATATCACAACACTGGAAGCACAGCACACAAACTATGGGCGAATATTCAGGAGGATTACTTCGACTTCTTACCTCAAAATCATATTCCCACTTGCCAACGTACTATGTGAAATGAGAGAAGATGAGAAAAAAACACAGCTGCTGGGTAGAAATGTCAACTCGAACGCTGTGCTCTCTTACAAAAGGAAAACAACATACGGCGCCATCTGGTGGCAGATTAGAAGTAATCCTTTACCAACTTTGTACTACCCTGAGCCTTAAAGCACATCACTGCCCATGACACAGACAACCACAACCAATCAGCTTCTCATCTGACATGTTAAGAAAATAACCATCAGGATGCAGGAATGACCACCTGCAAAAAAAATTAAAAACCCCTTACAGATTCTTTGGCCTCCAAAGGAAACACGGATCATACCTCAGCGTCGTACTCAAACATTTGGTTCCCCTTCATGTGGTGACACTTGAGCATCACAACAGGCCCGTTGAGGCGGGACACGTCCAGGCAGAGGTCATCCGTTCTGATTTCTTTATCTGCTGTGTACGAGAACACCTGGAAAAAACAACCACAACTCCATTGCTATCCAACATTTTTCAATAGAGAAAAAGATGAAACTCTAGAGAAAATCTTTTTTGTGTTAACAGGCTCCAAAAAATCATTTTAAGTGCTTGATAAATCAAAATGCTGATTTCAGAAACTGCTCTGAGTGGTACAAAATATCCCTTTAAAAGAGTTATGTGGAAACTTAATAGATTTCTTGCAAACCCTGATGTAGAATAACCATTGTTAAACGTTAATGTTAGATTTTGTTAGAGTTTGATCAACATAAATATGTTTAAAGTTTAGGTTTTGTATTCCCTAATTTGACACAATTTGATTGGCCTTATGCAGTTTGAAAGTGGTCAAAAGAAATCAATCCAAAAGTTATTCCGTTTTTCTTTGGGGGAAATTCAGTTTCTGTCTCCTGCAGATGACTTATATTCCTGTGAGACTTTTTCCATGTCTGAAATGCTCTGCTGCTCTGAGTACCAGGATTGAATCTAATCATCAGTTTTATATAAAGCTGCAGATGCAATCAGGCCCATTAATCTCAATGCAGGGGGCAACAAAAATCCAGAAGAACATTGATTAAAAAACAAAGAAAAAGAAACAATTAACATTTATATGCAGAGGTGAGCACAGTTATGTGGACCCAAACTGTGCTGTGCTGCACCTGGCACATATAAATGCAACCCCCCTCCCAGAAAGAAAATCAATGACACATTACCAGCATAACAACAATACTAAGCTGCATTCATCGATGAAATGGAGATCTATTATGATAAAAGTGAATAAGAAGAATAAATAAAATCCTGTCGTGGTTAAGTCAAAACAGTTTTGGGAAGAAAAAGAAAAAATATTGCAATGTCCAAGATTGAAAAAAAAACTTTGAAAGAAGCAGTGGATTTCAGATACTAAGAGAAAAAGCTGAGAGGAAAGATAATTTAAAATCACTTGTAAACAGCCTTATCAAAAAAGTCTGTCCTCTTACAGTGTTTTCTTTCTTGCAGCTTTAATTGTTTTAATTTTTCAGAAGTCTGTTTAGAGGAGGTCCAGAGCTGATGACTGTTGTTTACCTCGCCTTCCCTGAAACCTTTGGAAAACTCAGCTAAAAGCTTGGATCTATTGATGTTTAAACATTTGCATGAAACTGGACACACGCCTCTCGCCCGTTATCAGCTGGGATTGGCTCCAGCCCCCTGCGTCCCCATTGGGAATAAGCAGTATAGAAAAAGGATGGAAGGATGGATGAACCTGGACCAAAATTGTAACACTGCAATAAACTGATGTTACTGATTGTCTCACCTGATTTCCACCCATGCCATGGCAGTTGAAAAACCCAACTTTCTCGTTCTCCTTCCTTCCCATGTTGTCGACGCATTGGTTGGTCTCTACATTTCTGATCTACACAGGAAATACATTTTTAGAGGTTTTTCTGAGAGTTCAATTTTATCCTGATGGATAAAGGTCAGCCTGGCATTTAAAAACATGTATTTTTTTTTCAAAATGTCACCTTTTAAATTCTGTCAGGTACTGTGTTTATATCTGCATTGTGATAGAGTGACCTGTTCAGGACGTGCCTCTCCACCAAATGACAGCTGAGATAGGCTGTAATCCCCACGTTCGATCAAGTTGGAATAAGTGGGAACAGAAAATGAATTGATGGCAGGATGTTTCTGTAGGTTTAACCGATGCCATTATAGTAAATCTGTAGTATGTATGGTATTTCTCATTCTTTCAACACCTTACAAACTGAGGCAAACCTTCCCCTTTCAACCAAAAAATATATATTTCTAGAGGTCTTGTTTCATTGGGACCCATCTCAAAATGTTCATAAAGTAAATCATCAACCATAGCAAACAGGTTGCTCTGACGGGGTAAGATTTGTTCAACTATTGTTTTCACAATTCTCTTTTGCTTTTTTATTTAAAAAATGGTAGAAAAACCAAATATAAACACTTCTTTTACTCTTCCTAAAGTTGAGGGGTTCATTTTGTATTGCTGGAAGTGAATTATTGGTTACTATTACAATGATCAATTAAATGATCATCAAATAAATGCTTTCTGTGTTATCTTTGTCTGTTTAACCTCTGCCCATTATATTTGCTTTAAAAGCTGAAATATTGATCTTACTACACAGTTGTAGGCTGGTGTTATCACAGCCCATACTGGCTTACCATCAACTCAGCTATTTAATGAACTCATGCACTCACAGATATGAAGCTGAGCTGACCGTAACCTAAGCTGTTCATTATCCCTATCATGCAGGAATAAAATGGCACTCATAATTAAGAAGTACCCAATGTAATGGTTCCGGCTGTTAAACACATTCTGTGCGTTATGGAGGGTAAGACGCAGTGGGAAGATGTATGGCCTCGAATGACATGAAGGAGAGGTGCTTTAGAGACTGAAGGAAGAGACAGAAAAGATCAAACTTTTCGTGCCATATTGCAGGACTAATGGAAATTCTGCCCTTCCCCTGCTTTCTAGAGATTGCAAGCTTATCTCAGCATAAGGCCTTACACTAGCCTTTAATAGCCTTTGTCTTTTGTGAAACAGCATGAATTTAGTCAATGCTGACCATCTCAGTCTGTTCCGTGGTAATACATATTTGCCTTTCAATCAAACCCTCAATTTTCTTTCCAGAATTATAAATGAGAAAAAATTGGGGAAATAAACAACACGTAAAACTAACTAACTTTTCATACACCAGCACTTGAAAGACGACAAAATAAACAAAACAATAAAAAACACTATTTTTCTGCTTGTACAAAATGATGACAAAACACAAACACACACACACAAGCCTTATCTCACACACCCGGTATACACAGTATAACTGTGTAAACTTTAGAGCGATCAATACTGCACGGGCCTCCCTGCTGTTTATTACACACGTTACGTGTAAACAACTTGTTTGGCCTCGTTTACAGTCATCTTGTTTTGTCAAGCTCTTGCTGAATCATCACATTTTCACATTCAACTAGCCCGAATGCTACAAGGACACCTCTGACTGCATGAAAGTGCAAGCAGAGTTTGTGCAGCATAATCAAAGATCAGAGTACAAAAATGCTCATACTTCACCAAGTGAGTAGTATCTTCTTGGGATCTGGGAGTCAGGGTAGATGTTCTCTAGGTACCAGGAAAATGGTTTGCACTTCAAGGCTTCACGGAGAGCTTTCCGGGAGGAGACGTCTCCGTAGTCCACCCGCATTACACCTGCATAAGAAAGGTCAAGACCAAACTTCAGCAATATGTATCTGTGAAAGCAGTCAGGATTTAGAGGAATGATGTGCTCTTTACCACCTGTTCTAAAAAGATAGGCAGCTCTGCTTTCTGAACCATCGAGACTTAACACCAGGGGGAGCCTTTGCATAAACACTTTTCAGTTTCTGCATGAAAATATAGGCTTCCATGGGTGGTCATGGACAGATTTCCTGTTAATAAATGCATAATTAACCTGGGCTCTGTTATGCTATTAATACACCTTCTGTTCTATTAGTTGTACAGCTCAAGAAATGGCATGTTTTAAAAAAAAAAGCTATCAAAGTGTGACGTTTGTGTATCACTGTGTGCCGTGATGAATGTTACTTAAGCCAAATGGAACCTGTCTGATGTATCAGCATTACAGAAACCAAAGACTGGGGAAGGATTAGACAGCGACTGGGCACAGACACTTACAAACACATTAGGCAGATGGTTTCTCCCTGGAGTGCCTCTCGAGGAATCATAGCTTGTATGTAGATAGATCCAGCTCGGTAATTTATTATAAAGGGACATGATTGCAATGAAGGAAAATATGACTACAGTTTACAAAAATCAGCCAACATTCATGGCACTGTGCTGTATAAACCCACCAAACAGCAGCTAGACAAAGCCAACAGCAACGTCAGTAACACTAACAGCACTTTACACTTTAATCTGGGAGATACAATTTTTACTTCGGCAGATAAAAGCAAAGAGATGAAGGCCATTTTTTCTCCCCTGGCCCTGTCTGCCTGTAGGGTCCGAGCATCACATGTTGCAGTGAGTGAATAGCCTCTTTGATCTTAATAGCCCCGATGAAAAAGAGGGACAAGGAGGGAGATAGACTTTTAATAGGATGACTACATGCCACTCCCAAAATTAGCAACATGTTGTGTTCCTCTGTGCCAATAAGTGAAGTCTGGCAGCCGATCAGCTCTGATCATTCTCTCTAATGCCCTAAAGGAACACACGGTCATTGCGAGGCCACAAGAAATAAACTATTTCATCCATCAAAATGCTGGCTCTGTCTGCACACCTGGCCATCAAGACTCCTGCCTCACTGAGTGAAGAGGAAGGTCACAATTTGTGCATGAAGATCTGAAGATTACAGATGATCCCTCATAGGTTGGCTGCCATCTAGAACACTTAGCCAGAGATTTCCGGAAAAGGGCTCCCTGCTAAAGGGTAATCACATTACTGAGTCGGCAGATGGAGGGGCACTCATCTCTCAAGCTGCAAAGCCATGTAGCTCTAGTTTTTCCATATGTGTTTAAATTCTGTTGGCTAGAGGACAATTTTTGACAAATTTCTGAGCTCGAGTTCAGAGGCGCACTGTAATTGGTCAGAGAGCAGAAATGAATTTGCTCCATTTTGAGGATGACAGAGTAGCATTAAACTGTGATATATGAATAAAGAGAGAAATGTTCATTACTCAATTAATGTGAAGATGTAAGAGAATAAAAAGAGAAAAATGGCAAAGAAAAAAGTCCTTTTAGAACAACTGGCTTGATGGGATATCAGTGAGCACACATAGTTTGGGTAATGAGGATTGTTTATGTCTGTTTTGAACATGGCAACGCATTGAATAAAATATTCACCAAATTCGTCACTGATTGACAAATTCCTTGAAACCATAACAGCATGTGGAAATTCTACAACTTTAACATGTTTGTGTACAGTGTGTCCCTATTATTCAACTAAGGCAGGAAGATGCAGTTACACAGGATCACATATCGCTCTGTACCTGGTGATATGATATAGAAGAAGTCTTTAAATTCATCCATCCAGACTTCAGCCAGCCGCCTGTTGTTCTTGTTGATGACTTGACCTGTTCCCCCAGGGAAACTATATGGCGTGGCCTTCCGAAAAACATGACCCACATGTGAGCATGTCACAATTTCCAAGGAGCCACCACATTGCCAGATCTGTCGATATAAATAAGACAAATCAATTGAACTGAATGTAGCATGAGAGCAAACTTCTTCAGGTGTCAGGTGCGCTTTTTCATTGCCTCTCCCTCCTTGCTGCTTAAGATATACAAGTCAGAAATATATGTATTGTTTAAGGAAATTCACTTCATTTTGTATATTTTACAATATAATGTTTATTTATAACGTACTTTGTTTTAAATGTCTTGCGTGAATTTCCCATGCTGGTGAGCTGGAAACAATGCATTCTACATCATATTGCCATTAACTCAGAGTTGAACCTATGAACAGTGACTGCACTGTGGTCGTTTCAGGGATGAAGAACTCTGTGAATAAAAATCCTTAAAAGTAATAAAAAAACAATTCTTCAATGTATCCACTACCAAAAGGTGCCATTTGGATGACGGATTACATTAAAAAAGCCACAGAGGTAAAGGGCAAATGCTGTTTCTCTCCAGGCTCACCATAATGCAGAATACCAAAGGTGACTCAGTCACTTCAGAATTGCTCAGTCTATGTGTTTTTAATCCTCTTTCATTTTCTGACACTATTCATGGTACATAACATATTAAAAGAAGTAGGAGTTTGGACTTTTTAGAGGAAAATAACAGCTCACCAACCCCTTCCTCAAAAGCCATCATGACTTCAGCACAAACTGAAGCCGGTGACCACAATGTCATTTTCTCATTTACACTTCTGCTTTCTTTTGTGCCTCTGATTTTAATTACAGTGTCTGTTTAAAACTATTAATACAGGTTTGTAGTGTTTTTTTCCAAGAATAGGTTGGAAGTGATGAAAAAGAGAATGTATAAAAGGAATCTGCCATATAAACACTTAGCACAATAACACACAATGACATCTGGCAGCGCGAAAGCATAATGTTCACTGTACTTACTCTAAAAGACATTTCCAGGTTCTCTCCACCCCAGATATCCATCCCTGGGTCGTAGCTTCCTATTTCTTCGAAATATTTTTTGTCTATAGAGAATAATCCTCCGGCCATGGTCGGAGTCCTAGAGAATAGGAGGAAGAATTTGAACCAGAAAACAGTACTGAAAACATATTTCCCGTAAAATGTGGGACATATGAGCAAATATAGGTTCATTATAAAATGGTAGAAACAAGCCTAAAGAAGGCACCAAGAGTTCCTACAAGAAGCTCCGTCTTCACTCTAAAATAGTTAGAATCATATTGTAGCTCAGAGGGGTATTCAGAACACAATAAAAGCGCCATTTGTTCAAACATCTGAAAAAAAGCCTCAGAGGGATAATTATTTTTATGTTTTAACTTAGCCAATCCTAAATTGAGGACACTGGTGATTGCAGTGATCTGCATACAGATGTCTGCCCTCAACTGGAAGCAGAATCTCTACTTTTCTGTTATATAGAAAAAAAAACAATCACACTACATAGTGAGTAGCTGGAAGGAGATTATGTATTTGAAGCCGCAGGCAAAATGGCTAAGAAAAATTTAAATAATAGTATTTTCTCTGGGGCCTGCTACCACAGAAACAAAGCAGCAAACTAAAGAGCCATTACTGTTATCCGATAATTGTGTGTGTGAGAGAAACATTTCCGAGGAGTACCTGACAGGAAGTGTTCTGTCCCCCTTTCGTCGATCCATTTCTCGCTGAGGAACAGGGTACCATCTGAAATTTAGCTTCCAGTTGAATCCGCCATAAGTCATATCAGAGCCTGCCATGTATTCAAATGTTTCATCACTGATGACATCGATAATGGGGCACACCACTGCTGTCCTGAACAACACAAAGTGTAACAATCAGTATTGAGATGAAAAATAGAAGATGGAAGCTGTCACTGCGCAAAAACAGTTTTCCCTGTCTTTTAGTAAAAAAATAAAAAAATAAAACAAGAGGAGAAATAAAAAACTCTCCCGTGGTTTGCAATCTCAAAATATCTTGAAAGCACACAGCAATAACTGCACAGCTTTGCAGACAGGTAATGTTTTGCTTCATCTCATAACCATGTTCGCAGACTTTAAAACATCAATACACCTGCAGCAGCATTCAACAGAAGGAGAGTGGCTCCATAATTTAATGTTTGGAGTCACATGATACGAATTTCCTTCTGCAGAATAATGAATGTGTCTGACCTCAGATATGGATCACATGAGTATTATTATTAATCGATTTATGATCAGTCAATTCATTCTTGTAGATTGGTATTATTCTAAATACAAGAAGAAAAAAAAACACCCAAAAGAGCTAAATCAATTCTAAGACATGACACCCATATATGAGTCCACGTATTATTTCATTTTTTTCCCAACAAATCTGTTTGTTTTTTTCTTATTCTTTTACGCATTTATTATTTCTTATTCTTTTTCTTAGTCTTGTTTTATTAAAAGTTTTCTTTTCCATGCTCGCTGTTTTTCCTTCTCCAGGTTTTGTTTTAGACTATTTTTCATGTAGTAATCTTTTTTACAATGTTGCTCCTTACGCTAACTGCTTTTTTCATAGATAGGAATCCTTAAATTACCATTTCTCTTGCATCTTTATGCAAAACTGCATCGTCCATGTATCATTCCTGTCAAATAAACTAGGAGTAATAAAAAATCTCATTAAGACCTCTTCTATATTACATTTGACTATAAACTAGTCGAGCGGATGCAGCACAATGAGGAACACGGCCACTGCATTTGTTCATTCCACTATGTACTGTCCCTACACTCTCTCTGTGTTTGCTTTACTCATCAGCCCGTTGGTGCTGACTTCCATCATGTGGAGCTGCATTAACATAAGACATGCTACCAGTCACTGATGCTAACATTTGCTCTGAGGTTGCATCAACAGCAGAATGACTACTGTCTTCCATCAAAATGCAGATAGAGCTTTGCTTCCAGCAACGGATGATGCAACATTAGTAAAGAGAGAAAAGTACAGTATTGATATAAGATACAATGAGAATTGTGCAACATTGCCCTTAAATAGTGCTTGCTTATTACTTTATGTAATTTTTGTTGCACACTTTGGCGCTTACCTGTCCTCTTTGATGCGGGCCAGCAGGGGCTCCAGCCAACCGACAGTACACTCGCAGTGAGCGTCCAGAAAGGTGATGACGCGACCTGTGGTGGCCGCAGCCCCTCTCAATCTGGCTCTGATCAGACCTGATCGCTGCTCCATCCTGAGGATCCTCACTGGGACCTCCAGAGTCCGCACGTGATCCTCTAACTTCTTCTTTAAGAAATCTGAAACAAAAGAGAGCATGTGCAAGGGGTCAAGCTGCTGAGTAATTCTACTGCCGGTATTTTTCTACCATTATTACCATTATCATTGATATTCTTATTCAACATTGTTATAACCAAAGAATTTATCAGCAAAAAAAGATAATTCCTTGACAGCCTTGACGGTCTTTTGGTATGGTATGCCACACAACCAAAAAATAACTTACTAAATGCATGAGAAAATAAATCCAACCTGGAATGCAGAATGTATTTACTACCAAAATGTAAAACAAAAACAATGTGGATGTCCACCCCTTCGATTCTTTACATGCTGTGATGCGCATGAAAAACTAGAAAATGATTAGGAATGTTTTCATATTTTCTATTTCCAGTCTTTGCAAATTGTATAAAATAAACTCAGCTTTTGTTTATTTTCCAATGTTTGATTTAGACTCTCATAGCCTATACTGTATATTATGTGAGTGTATTGTTTTCCAGGCAAGCAGACTACAAACCTCTCTCACTGGCATCGTCAACCAGCACAATCTCCACCACTAAGTGCCTGGGAGAGCGGTTGATGACACTGTGAACGGTGCGCAGCAGGGTGCTCCATGCCTCGTTGTGAAACACGATGACAATGCTGGTGGTTGGCAGATCATCGGGGTACAATTTGGTTTTACAGCTGGCAGAGAAACAGAGGCAAGAAAGAGATTATGAACACTTATGTTCTAGAGGACAATAAAATGTGACTCTTGCAGGATGTGTTCTGGATATTTTCCTGTAATGCAGACTTGCTCTTGATGTATAGTTCTGAACATGTCAGCAGATTTTCTGAGGAAAGTTTTTTGATTCTCTGTCCTAACATACTCCGCATAGCCCTACGTGTTATAGACTTACCAAATTATCAACGGGCACTGTTTATAAACCTAGAAAAAAAACTAAATAATTAGCTATTTCTACACAAATATTTTGTTGGTTAAAAATGATTACTTAAATGTTATAAAATCTCAGACAGTGATGGTTTGAAATCAATATTAAATCGTCCAACAATAATCAAATGTAGATGTTTTGAAAACAGACATATCTTTCAATAATTTAGCTCTTTAATAAAAAGTCTAATTTTCTTGCTCATCTGAACTATTATCAGACATCTGAACAAAATTGAGCTGTGACTCATGGGACTGAAACTGGTCACCAGCGTGAATCCTTATGCTTAAAAAACTCTGTTGGTTTCATGAAGCAGCTCATTATAGCGACTAAGAGGAGAGTAGGGAGCATCCTGCTGTTCTGAAGTACTGTCGGCAGTTCAAAAACATTGTTGCAGGGGACTTACTGACAAATATCTCCAGAGAGAGTGGGAAAAGAAAAAAAGAAAAATCGGTGTTGACTGCGATGTCAGCATGTCCTTGGCTTGATGTAATGTCTGTGAAAGCCTTACGGTGAAACTGTGACAAACTTGGGACGGAACTGCTGTGGACTTTATTGAATTAGGAATTAGGTAGGTTACAGTGGAGTAGCAGGACAAAAAAAGTAGCCTGTGCAGCAGGCGGAGGGGGTGTGAGAAGTGACGGAGGGGGGGCACCGAAGCAGACAGCATTGCTAGTTCATTCCGGTCTATTCAATGTGACAGCACTGACTGACACAACTAGGCCAGCAGACTGCCTTCGAGAAAAATACTCATTGCCCTTCAGAGGCAACGCCTGGCAATTCTGCAAGGTTCTGGATCATATCCACTGCACAGCTGCTGAAATTTTGCTAGGCTAAGCTGTGTTCTGTAATAAAGCTGTTGTTTTATTTATACGGGTGAGGGAAAAGAGTCATAATGGACAGAAAAATGGGGAACACAAATTAGCTGACAACTGGGTTTTTCTCAGCAATATAGGTCATGTTTTGTTTTGTTTGTTTTTTACAGTGAAGTTTAAAGCTTTACATAAAAGGGCTGAAGTGTCTTATCAATTGCATCTAAGATTTTTGTAAAGTGCTCTGCTGAGTCTTGGCTGACAGTAAACAAACTGAGCCTTCTTTACATGATTTTTCAAATTGGAGATGTTATTATAACCAATAAAACCAAGAGCTTAATCATTTAGGTTTACAGCTTATATCCTTATCCCTTTGATGAGTCTACACTTTCGGTAGCATCTTGTCACACTGAGCGACTGTAACATTCCCAAATGAGCCTAATTAAAAACCCATTCTGAATGCAGCTTTGGGCTTCGTTTACAGAAGAACACCAGCTTATAGGCTTGTTTCCACTGACTGGACTGCTTATTTTCCATATGATCAGGTTACACCTGTTGCAGCAGAGTTTCATGTCGAACAGAGGGACGGAGGAAAAAAGAAAACAGTTTTGGAGCAAATGATAACCTGAGTCGATCAATGGTTAATGCTTTGAACGATATGGATATAATGAAGTCTTTGACAACGACGTGTATATTGCAGTTGCATAAAACAGAATGTAAAGTGGGCACGAGTCTTTGCTCTGTAATGTGCAAACAGAAAAGTAACTGGGACATATCATCTGCTAGCCATTATTATTGAGATAACGGACAGCTAAAGAGCCAACACATTGTAATGACAGGAGAAAGAAAAATGAAGGTTTAACTGAAATTTCAGCTATTGGATATGTGGTGGATATGAGAAAAATCCTTTTTCACTTAGCAGCAGCTACAGAGTGCGGACAGTGCAGCCCTCTGGGTGGGTTGGTGGATGTGTGTGTGAGCTGTTGACTGTCCACTGTTCGTATTAGTTTCAGTAGGTGTTTCAGGGTCAGCACAGTAATCTAATTCAGCACTTATGCGGCTGATGTCCAGGCCTAGGTTTACGCACCCATCCAACCTCACATCTGGTAGACTCCTGTTGAGAGCAATCATGTCACTGGCCATCAGATTGAACTGATTAATCTTAAAGAGGTCCTTCATTTTCTCCTGATTGTTTTTGGGGATGTTCACTGCCTTGCCCATCTCCCCTGGACCATCATGGCTCCGGGAAATCACAGCTGTATAACAACGAAGACAAAACTGATGAGAGGCGAAATTAACATGAAATTGCACATCTTATAATTATTGTGCACACTTATTGATACACTGTGTAAGAACAGATTGTGAACACTGTACATTTATATCAGAACAATCCTGAACATACAGAAAATGTGACAATCATCTTACATGTTTAAAATCTTGCTCATTTCAAATGTAAGAAAAATGTTTTTCCCCCGACACTGATGAATGTGAAACAGCTTAAAACCTTGAACACAGGCAGTGCAGGCACCCTGCATAAGCTCTCTCCTCTGCTCTAGTCCAGGATGACTGGGTATTAAGCAATACACAGTCTGGTGGCTATGTTTAATTTCAAAGATTATCTTTTAGAGGGTTTTGAATTCGTAGATTTAAGAGAATGGACCAGTAGATAAAGTGGTTTGAAAACCACTATAATTTTTCTAGTTGTTAAGGTTTTTTCCCTTGTGATATTTTCCTTCTGTCCAGTGAAAACAAGCAGAACATCAGTAGGCCAGCAGTTCTGCTGCAGTACAGGCATCAGCTCCCTTCACCAAAGGTAAATAACCTCCCGTGGATTTATGACTGCACTCTCCCCCTAGCGCCTCTCTAATAATCTCTTAAAACAGAGGCAGTGATTTCCATTAAAAGGAGGGGGCCACATGATCCATTAGCTGTGTGGCCTCCGGTTAAGAGGATTCCCCACATCCCTTTGTGGATACAGGTTGATGACAAGCGTATTGTTAACCTCGCCTGATCCCGCTACAGACTACATTTGGAGGGCGGCTTACATCTGATGGACACAGTTCCAGGGGTGAGCTGGATGATTGAGCAAAGTGTCGATCAAGGAACATTCTAAGACCGCTCCAATCCATCAGACTGTATGTGAGGAAAACCACATGTCAAGCAGAGCCTGGCACAAGCAAAATGTCAAGCAATCAATTAAAGTCAAGGTTTTCATGAAATGGTTCTGCTAAGCTGATGGTGAGCTGGTCAGATGGATGGTTGGATATGACGGTATAACTGTGGCTATCACTGAATTTACTATGTGTTCTGTCTCCTCCCTGTGACCTCCAAGCTGCAGATGGGCTTAAATGTTGCATCTGAAGTGAATTTCTCCTTTCAGCCCTGACAGACACACCATAATGGTCCCATGATGGTGGCCCATGACACCACCTAATGTTTGATTTGTTAAATTAATCAAGAAGTAATATTTATTGGTCAGTATTTCAAAGGAATGGGTAAACAATGGTCTCCGGCCATACACTATCTGTCTCATTTTTGGGTGCATGATACGATTTTGACATAAAGCAGGAGAGTCCCTCATACCTGAAAGTGAGCCCACTCATTGAAAATACCTAACTGAGACCACATGATCGGTCAAAAGACATCTGTAAAAATGGTCTGGTTCAAGCTGAAAAAGCTCAAATGAAGTAGGTATTAAAGAACCATGAGTCACAGCATTTTAATAAAAATAAAGAAAACTATCAATCCCAATCACATTAGAAATTATATTTATTAAAGGAAAGTAGATTATCAGAAAATTGTGAGCCTTTGATGAAAGTGCACTTTTTTTTAATCAGTTGCACTTATGATCGACACAAGTTAAAATCAAGATTTGAAATCCCTTCATTAGGACTGCTGTGCTTTTATTAGTCAGTATTTTCCATCTGTAAATGATCCCAAATATATAAGAATCCAATTGTTCCTCAATCCCTCAAGACATTTAGCCTAATTCTCTGCCCTATCTTAGTTTAACAGCAGAATATTCTATACACACTCTGGAGTTAATGAGTCCTCTCAGGCACAATCACTCACAAAGCTGATTGCAGATGCTTGAGCATGCTCTGGAAAATTACATGTTTGTCGACTTTCACAGTGAAACATGCACAGCGTGTTAACTGGTGCTGAAAAATCTTAGGAATATTTAGACACGTGTTTTCAGACGTTTGTGAAAAGGTTTGAGCTCTGATGCGGATTATTGTAAGTCAGCCTGCATCTCTACATTCAGACTAATCTTTATTGGAATCTATGACTTTCTCTATCCATTACATGCTTTCTTCATCAAACCCCAAGCACTGGCATCAAACAAATATGAACCATGATTAAAACATTTTTTAAAAAGTGAGGCTAAGGTTCTACTTTTATTTCTAAACATCCATCCATCCATTATTGTAACCGCTTAGTCCCTAATGGGGTCGCGGGGAGAACTTTAGCCTATCCCAGTGGTCAATGGGCGGGTCCACCAGTCCATCGCAGGGCCACACATAGACATACAAGGACAAACAACCCCCACACTCACACTCACTCTCAATGGCAATTTGGAATGTCCAATCAGGCTACAATGCAGGTTTTTGGACTGTGGGAGGAAGCCGGAGAACCCGGAGAGAACCCATGTGGACACAGGGAGAACATGCAAAGTCCACACAGAAAGGTCCTGGTTCCCCCGGGACTCCAACCCAGAACCCCCTTGCTGTGAGGCGATGGTGCTAACCACCACGCCACCGTGCCACCCAAATTAAATAAAGCACTCATTCCCAAAAATGCTAATTGTTAGCTCAAAACATTTCCTTTGCCTTTCGATATAGTGGAAGGTGTTCTTGTTCCTTTATCAGCTTCTGTAGTTTCCCTCGCCTTCCTTTTCTGGATGATCTCTCACACTCATTTTGAAAAATAAGCAGCAATCTATTTTTATAGCCTCATTCTTTGTCAAAGCCGTCAAGTAGTTTAACTTCAGATCCTATGCTGGTTTCTTAAAAGAGCCAATGGCACACGAAGAGTCCGTCAAGTTGTGAATTGTCCCTGGCTGACAATGCTTAATGACGGCTCTTGACCTCCTTTTCAAGCTCCAGTAAGCAAATGAAGACAAATTATTCAAATAATGTTCCAAGATGAGCAGTAGACACAGACTGGTTAATAATTTCCAGCAGATTAGTCAAATTTCTGTAAACTTTTGGTCAGCTTCTTTCTTTTATCTTACTGTTTCAAACTCCATCCATCCATCCATTTTCTGAATCGCTTATTCCCAAATGGGGTCATGGAGGGACTGGAGCCTATCCCAGAATTCAGTGGGCGAGAGGCGGGGTCCCCCTGGACGGTCCGCCAGTCCATCGCAGGGCCACACATATAGACACATGAAGACGAACAACCACGCACACTCACTCCAAGGGGCAACTTGGAATGTCCAATCAACCAAACATGCAGGTTTTTGGAGGAAGCCGGAGAACCCGGAGAGAACCCACGCAGACACAGGGAGAACATGCAAACTCCCCCCAGAAAGGTCCTGGTTCCCCCGGGGACTTGACCTCTTGCTGTGAGGCGATGGTGCTAACCACCACACCACCGTTGTTTCAAACTCTTGAAAGTAAAAATATATTAAAGTTTGAAGAACCTTTTGGGTTTACAACACAGAAAAATTTTCACCAGCGTTACACTTTTGACATTTGTTCATTGCTTGACTACTTTCATTAAAATTGTAACACATTTCAGTTGCATGTGAACCTTCTCAGTAACAAATATCGTCATTGGAATTTTACGTTAGCTTCATGATAGCCTCGGCTGGACTGTGATGGGGAACCACAATCTGCATTCTTCATTACACGGCTACAAACATACTGCAGCTATTTTCAATCTTGTTATGTTTATTTTTCTTTTTTCAGAAAAAGGTCTCTGTAGCGGAGCCCAGTTGGACGCCGCTGCCTAGGTTCAATCCACTCCTTTCTCACTCACTCCTTCCTTCCTTCGTCACTTAGCTCTGCTTCCTGCCTCTGATTCTGACACATCGTGCACCATACTGTACATCAGAGGAGCTCCTATTCCACGCTAAAACCACAGCCAACGAGGGGAACTAGAAACCTTTACTGATCTGATTTGCACCATCCACTGTACAAGATACAGCGGATGGACATAAAAAAAAAGTAATATTTTTCTTCACACAGAGATCTAACATTCGAATCGAAAGTGAATCAGGAATGGTTTTGAAATATTTTTGAATGAAACTACAAAGCTTCTTTGGCTGGGAAGTTTAACACGCAATAACCACAGTCTAAATATTTTTCTCTCATCCTCAAAATAGATTTAAATAAATGTATGAAAATAAAGTTGTGTGAATATATGATTAAATAACCAACATGGTGCCACATTATAATCCTTAGCATTCTATTAAATCAGACAAAGAGTCATCTAAATGACAGATGATTATTTCCAGCATAAAAGGAGAGTAATTAAGTGCTGTTCTGCCTGAGAGTGATGGAAATTACGGACAAAGGTGCTTCTTGTTCACACTAAAACCTTTTTTTTTTGGCTGATGCATTCTATGGCTCTGCTCTACCACCTCCTGAGTTAAAACGTTAATGTGGTGAGTTTAAGAACTCTGTTTCACATTGAAAGACTACAAAATTGACTCATGATGCAAAACGCATGGGGGTTAGTGATAAGTGTCCCCGCCCGTCATGGGGAGATACATACATATGTATATATTCTACTTTGTAAGACGCTTTGGATAAAAGCATCTGCTAAATGCATAAACATAAAAGCAGTAGGCCAACAGATTATGTAAGACAGTAGAACTGAGAAACAACAGAGCCATAAAATTTGTATGACAGTGAGTGACTGCATAATGCTGGAGGTAATGGTAAAGTTTATTAAATTATTTTCCAGCATAAATAAAGGAAATAACCACTGAGAAAAAGAATGCAAAAATAACTGTTTCTAATACATCGGTTTTGTGTTATAATAATAAAACAAATAAATTCCATTAGCATTTTACTTGTTGTTGGATTTAGTGAAACTCTTGAGTTACTTACACTAAGTTGAAGCATTTGCTGACATCTGCAAACTTATATAAACCTTTTTTTTTAAAACAAGCAAAATAAACACCTCAGAAGCTTCCTGTCAGAATACCACCAACAATAATTTACCTTTAATATAGGATATAAGAGGAGCGGATGATTGAATAGACAAAGACTGTAAACCAGCAGCTACATGGGCTCATTCCAGATTCTTAACCCTCCTTTACAAATTACAAACATAGAAAGAATCTCCTGACCACATGTCATGTCACAAACTTAAAGTCCAGCACTGACGCAGTAAGAGCAAATGACCATAAAGTATATGATGGTCTAATAAAAATGTACCATGAGCTTATCCGTAGCTGCACTAATCAGGAATCCACGGTGGGCATTCTTTAAATGCTGTTTTATCCACCTGCTGATAATTGACATGATGTTACAGGCAAAATTAATGTGATGGTGTTAAAAGAAAGAGATATAAGCCAGCCATCTGATTTATATCTACACATGGGGAACATAAGCCCAATTTTAGTTTAACATACCATCATGCAAAACTTTGAGGAGTATGGTGACATTGTTGCACATTGTTACACGGTGAATTTCACACCATATCAGTCATCAAACATCTCTTAAAAAACTTTTTAGGTGCAAATTACTTTAGTTGACAAAAATGAGCTCTTTTAAGGTCCATTTTACAGCAACTGTTAGCTTGGCTTCAAACAGGCATCTCTCCACTGTCTACTGCAGGGACGGGTCCCTGACTACTCAGGAGAATCACACTCAATCCCAGCTCTTAAAAACATCAAATGTCCTTGCACGTTTTCTTCTTTCAAAATGTATTTTTTTATTACGTTCAGTTTATTATGGAATCAAAGAGTCAGGGAGACTAATTAAAATTCAGTTATACTTAACCAAAATATGATAATAAAACAACTGTAAATAAGTTGGGTGAAATATTAAACCCATCCTACTTCTCATAAAGCCAATGTAAGGTCAAAGATGGTGTATGGTAATGACCCAGTAAGTAACTTGCAGCTCTACCTCATTTCAACCTTAAAAGCAGATTACTAAGCCTATTAGAAACTTAGAAAACCTTCTTTCTTGAGGGCATGCAAGGAAAAGACCTCTCAGAAAGAGGAAGTGTCTAGATTTGACTTCAGAAAAACAGACCTACAGAAACTCACTGGGGCACAGGTAAGACATGAGATATGCAGATATCTGCATATACAGAGGGAAATTGTAACGAATTAAATATATTTGACATATTTCCTGTGCTTTTTTAACACTGTGCCAGCGCACACTGAAACCACAACATGCATCTACAATATCAGCTGCATCTCTGCTCCCTCCTGCTATCTCATCGGGAGGAAAACTATAGGATTAATGTCTTATTCACAGACCATAAAGTTAACTACATTAGAAGACAGTAGCTCACACCAATATGTCATTATGCCGTTGTGTGTGCGTTTACGTGCGATTGTGTGCAGGTACAGCTTTTGTGGTTTCTGTCATTTACATTACATTTTGTGGCACCAAAATCTAACACTAACAGCATTTTGCAGCATTTTTCTCAGTCTGAATAGAAGTGTATTTTTGCAGCAAGATCTCCTTTTTGCCTCCGTGCTACTCTTTGCCCTCAGATACAGCTTCAGCCAGATTCTCCATGAATATATTCTGATAAGCATTAAATCACTGAAGACAAAGGACCTTTGAAAATGTGCAAAATGTGTTCCTGCCCTTAAAAACAACCCATACGAGCACCTTGCAACATATCAACATACTGACCCAACAGGAAGGAAATACAACTCGTCTTTGCTTTAAGAAGATACAAAAAACCTGTTGGGTAATGGAGCAGGATAATCTGAGAAAAAAATACGCACCCAGACATAGAGGAGTCTGTGATTTAGAAGAGATGAGTGAAAAATCCTCATTTCTAAACGCACTACAGCGTGAAGTGACACTGGTACCAAAGGGGATATTATTACACTCTGCTGAGAAAAGGCCAGACTTTGAAATATGGTGCGGAATATGTTTAGCTCTCTGTTTTCTGAGGCACAGCGGCAGAAATGTACTTGGTCTGGTTTCAGTTTCTCTCTGTGCTAACCTGTTTGAATATGTTTAGTTTATCACCATTAATCACCTGGCGGATTAAACAATTACTTTATCATGCAGATTTAAACCTCCTTCTTCCAATCACAAATGGAGCTTGACTTGTTCACGTCCTCTATCAAATTCCTTTTAAATAACTGCCAAAGCTGATGAACTCTAAATCCCGTCAAAATTAACAAAAGGAAAGCTGCACTTGAATGAATGTGCGTGAGCCTTAATCACAACTGAAACTTCATGCCTCCTCAAACCTGGACCGTTAATGGACGTTGTCGGGGTACCACTGTGGACATTGTTGTGGACTCACCTCTGAGGGCAGGGAGCAGAGAGCGGTCCTTTCTGTCGTCACATTTGTTGCACTCGCTGAAGTACAAGAGCAAGAACACATCAACCAGCACCCACACTAATGAGGTGGTCAACACCACCTTGCAGTAGACAAACCGTCGCATCACCTCTCTGGAATGTCAGCCAGGCGGACAAACAGGGAAGATAACAGGGAGAGCTTAGGAGCGCTCAGGCTGCTGGGGAGGTGTATGAACTCCGCAGAGTAGAAAAGCGGCGAGCAAAGCGGTGCGAGACCAAGCAGATTTGATCAGGAGGCATCATCCTGCATAGAGGAATACAAATAAGAGGACAAACATTCAGAAACAAAGTGCTCAAAAGTACAAGTACTGTATATGCTGCTCTGCAGACGGGACGGACAGCTGGGGAGCAACACTCACTGAACCCACAAACATTGATTTACTTTGGGTTTTTTAGCTGAGGAAAAAAAAGATGGTGCCACTGAAAAGATGCTCAGACAGACTACAGCTAAATTATTTTTGACTGGATCCTAAAAACAGCAACTGTAATAATATTACAGTGTGAGTTCAGGAATTGACTATCATCCCAGCTGCCAGTCACAGAGCTCACATCATCACTGTCACATCACAGTGCTATGTTTGTCTTTTCCCGTTTCTGACATAAGAAATGTGTCAGACTCTAAATGCTTTTGCACTTCACTCACACAAATACACACACAAACACAATCCTCTCCATTTAGAAAAAACCCAACTCTAACACCAAAGTCATGGACTTATTCTTATGTTGTTAAAACAAAAAAGGCAGCTTTGATCCACCTGCTCCAAACCTCAGATCACATTGCAGTTGATGATTTCACAAAAAGAGAAAGGAATCTCCTAACACCACCTAATGATTTCCACAATCTGTATGTAGCACATCACCCTCACTGGCAGTGTAAACACATCAGTCTGAATCACGATGTGTGTTTGCTGTTTTCACCATCTGCTTTGGTGCATCAGTTGTACATAATGGTGGGTACCAGCAACACTACGAGCTGATCGCTATAGTGTCATCCAGTAAAGTCTGACTTAATTAGTCCAACCATCTGCGCAAATGAATATTTCCTGTCTGTAGTGCTCACACAGTTTCTCCTCTGCTTTTTAAGATCAGTGCTAACTAGCATGCTTTATTAACTGCTTTCTCAAGTGACGGCTAATTGAGGTGTTAGCGGCGCTCTTTGTTGTCAAAGGCCTGATACAGATCCCCCTAAAGTGTGAGGGTTACACATTTGTCATCGTTTTCATTTAATTGTTTTTTCACATTAATTTGTACTATTACGAGCAGAAAATATCAGAGATGCAATCAAATAGTTTTGCATCCTTCTTTCCCTCCCTCCTTGTACAGATCTTAGACATCGCCAAGCATGTTTACATTATACGTACTGTACGTGCTCAGAGGTACTAGAAAAGACTAACTCGGATCATTCACATGCTCACACCCAGATCAGCTCAGACAAAGACTGAAGCCAAGTTTTGTTTTTGTGTTTGTTTGTTTTTGTTGAGTGTTTTGTTTAAATCTGAATGCTTACTCATGCAGTTTGAGCCAGTGAGTTTCTTAACTTGGGCACCCTGGTCAATGCAAACATTATAGTGTGAAAACTGTTTAAACACTGCCATTTGAGCCAGTGCTGAAAAATGCTAATCTTTGCCCAGACCCTCCCAGGAGCAGGAGGTGATTATGGAGCTGATCTCTGTAAGCCCTTTAGGCCCATGGCTGTAGCTTATTTTATGTGGTAAACAATAGAATATATATATACACTACACTGTAAAATACATAGAAAACACAAACTCTTAGCAGTTCTCACCAGTGTGATTTGTGCACACGTGTGGGTGCTGCCAGGAATCGATCATACTGAAGGACCACGTTAAATTGAGGCAATGTTTTTACATGTGGGTGAAAAACAGTGTAGCGGAGGCAGCTAACCAACAGTCACTCCTCTCAGTTGATGCCATTGAAACAAAACACATGGCAGCCCATCATCTCTGCAACAATGTGGTCATCATGACATTGTGTAAAGCAACCACCACAGGGGCTGTTACAAAAAAAAACAGCAATTCAATTAAAGGTAAAGGAAAATGAGAACACTATTTTCTTACCTAAATTATCGATGTAGTGAACAAGTGACCTGCTCGTGTCTCGCTATTCGGCAACGTGTTGAATATGTCCAAACGCCGAGTATCAGACAGAGGCTTATCTAAGCTGGGACGGTCAGCCTTGGGGGCGGACAACGGCTCGAAACGACCCCTAAGTCACAGTCCATCTCAGAACAGGGTAGTCCAGAATCCGGGCTGATACCGCCGGTCCGCCAAAGCATCTCATGGTACCTGTTTCGGACTCCTCGCAACGGTTTTCCTCCTCAGTTGTGCGTGTCGCATTAAGCCGAAAAACACAGGGAGTCCAGTTTATTTTCCTATTCCGTTCTATTATTAACAGAGTATCCGCTCTGAGACAGAAACCTCTTTCCACGCACCTGTCCTCCGAGTAGACATTGCAGCGACAAGATGACAGGCGAGATAATACTCTACTAAATCTAACCCCAGCTCAGACGGACCCGCACGTCTCGTCTCTCGCTTCTGATTGGCTGACGGCCACGTCGCTCACGTAATCCTCTGGAAGCGGTGCTTTACTGGCGTCTCGTGGATGTGAGCGCGTGCACCACCACAACACACTTCAGCCGAAAGGTTGGTTTTTGGTAGTTTTCTTAGCGTTTTCCTCTCGAATTGTAACTACATTGTTAAATGGTCAAGTAATGTTATATGTAGGTCGTTTATATAAGGAACACGTATAATTTGTAATTTTTGTTCTCGTCTCTCTTGTTCAATTTTCTATTTCTTCTGTTTTCACCTCTATGTTAATTGTCCTGTATTGTGTATAGATAGATAGATAGATAGATAGATAGATAGATAGATAGATAGATA